ACTTGCCTTTTACTCGACATTTAGATATATCGACGACGTATCGTCAATTAACAATGGTAATTTCCATTCTTATGTCGGAATGATATATCCTTATTAGCTGTTATAAAAGATACCACAGAGTCTGACACATCTGTTTCATACTTGGATATTTTACTTGAAAAAAACGTTAATGGTAATCTAACAAGCAAGCTATATGATAAACATGATGACTAACTTTTCTATTCTCAACTTCCCTTATGCAGCAATATATAATCATCACCTGCATACGGAGTATATATATCTCAGTTGATTCGATATGCAAGAGCATGCTCTACGTATAAACAATTTCTAAAACGAGGTAAATTATTGACAAGCAAGTTGTTGAAACAAGAATATCAGCAGTCTTGTTTCAAGTCATCATTTCATAAGTTCTATGGTCGATACAATGACCTTGTCAGCAAATACAATTTATCGTTGAGTCAAATGCTGGCTGAGGTTTTACATTCTCTTGTTAGTCCATTGTTTGTACACTGAATTGACGTTATTTCCTGATCATGACAAGGAGCGCATGGCGGGTGTGACCGGTCAGCAGGGGGTGCTAACTCCTCCATGGCACCTGATCTCACCTCTGATGTTTTGAAGGTCTCTGTTTGCTCTGCTCCTATTGTGTATTAGTTTATGATTTTAGATCTTGAATACTGTTCGTTATCTCCAAATGTTTTATTGTAAATTTATTTGTTGATTTTTTAAAAATTAAATCCTTTTTCTAGATTAGCTTTTATAAAATGATATAAGTAAAGGATAACACAATACTGTAATAGTACAAGAATTATTTTTTCTGAAAGACATTGTCTCACAACTGCAACTGTGTGTGCAAACAAATTTTGATTACGTGATAACGCTAACGCGCGTTACTCAATTCGGTTGCATACACCGTCACGAGACTGTATTTTTCAAAAAAATGATTCATTGCATAAATATTTTGAAGATATGTAGATATTTAATTTTGTGTGTATTCTAGCCTCTGATTGGTTAGTATCCAAAAAGGAACGCAAATTATACTGCGTGTGGCATGACGCTTCGTGATCCGAAAACCAGGGACAATTAAATCCCTTTTCACCGCGCTGCGTCAAAAATGTAAACATGGGCAGTGACTGTTCTTTTGGCAAGCGCTCGAGACTGAAAGTTTCAAGTGAGACCCTAAAAAGCAAAGCCCCTAGTAAAGGTAGGCGTTGGTTCAATAAATACACCTTAATGCTCAATGGCCCTGAGTGAAGATTATTGCTCTGAATTTGAAGACCTTGTCATCTCTATAACATGAGTGAAAAAATCTCGAATTGGAATTAACAACGTAAAATCAATCAATAATGTAATTAAATTATACTTGAAGAGATTGAGTTTCAGTTGTAACATAAGTACATGTACGATACTTGATTGAACATTCTGAGCTCAGTATATCAGGGTTTTGTTCTTAGGTAGTGGAATGCACCAGCAATAGTATTATTCAAATGATCAGGTCAAACTGCAGTGATGGGTCAATTCAAGTGACTTGTTTGGAAACAAGAGAAGAATTACCTAGAAGTAAACTATAACATTCTTTATACATTTAAAATAGTATAAAAATCTGAAATGAAAATTATTTATTTTCCCTATGAACGAGAGTGAGAACTCAAAAAATGAATGAAAAATTGTTGATTACACAATCGTTGACAGACTCGCCTTCGCAGGTCTCTACAAGTCATTTATTCTACGTGGTGTGTTTCCTTTAATCCTATCGGGAAATTAAAAGTGTTTTAAGCTCCTTTTTCGAAAACATAAAATCCATTTCAATTACCCAGGAAATAAGATTATATATCTTATCATCACGCTTGATCTGAAAAAAAAAATACAAAGATTAAAAAAATATTCGAGATAATAGTAACTTCCTTACGCTCTCAGTGAGAAAATAGATTATTTATCAAATATATAATTTTTATCCATATTTTTGTTGATGTCAAAGAGGTATACAGACTTCTAACCTCTGAAAAGGCACAAGTAACTAATACGTATTTGCAGATTTGAATTTGAGAGATATGTATTATATTATATGTATTCATGTATTGGTGCACATTTCATAGATACCGCAAAGGACTGCAAAATAAGCGGTGAAATGTGTATCTGTGATAAAATCATGAACAAACTCAGAAGCCATTAAACTCTTGAAGGAAATAAAAACACAGAAACATACCGCCTATATTAACTGCGTTCTCCAAAGATCTCTATGGTATAATAAAATATTCTTTCACAGACAATAATATCAGTCTTCCATTAAAGAAGAGAATTATATTTGCATATCTTTATATTGTCCCTATTATTCATAAACGTCTATACGCCATTTCAATTACTCACGGGGTTGCTCTTTCTCAGAAACATTTGTCTCATCATTGAGGTATAGGATTTATTCTTCTTGAAAAAGTGATAATATATTACAAGAAGTATAAGTGATATGACAAATAAATGTTTACCAATAACTGTATGTGTTTTACTATACCCTAGAGAGAAAAACAGATTTTTCTGTAAAGAGACTTACGACTTACGAAGCAACAAACAAACATGTTGCAGAAATAAAGCAATAAATAATATATAAAGGCATGGCCATGGACATTAGCTGTTTCTAAAACAGACAGAAATCGTGCAGGGATACTCATGTATGACGTTTATACATGTGATGATGTCCAGATGTGGATCTCTTTTATTTAACAATTACAAAATAATGATTTATATCCTTATCAACTATATGACAAAAAATAAATTTTTGGTTTTGTCCAGTTTTTAAATTAATAAAAATACCTTATTATGATTCACAAGTTTATACATGTATTTCAAATAAAAGTAATAAATACATTTGAACTAATACTAATAATATTTTTATGTTTTTTTTGGAAGCTTCAAAATGTATGAAAAAGAAGGGGGTTGTGCATTATATTAAAAATATTATATATTGAAAATTTGCAACTTCAAAAAGAAAAAAAATAGGTATCATGAAATTTTTATCCGAAAAAAGGATATATATCATTAAACCCCTATCTTATGCACATGGGCTTCACATGTATATATATGTATCTCCATTTATTCGATACGCAAAAGCATGCTCTACGCACTAGCGAGGCAAGCTATTGACAATCAGGTTTATAAAACAAGGATATCAAGGGTCTTGTTTGAAATCATCATTACTGGAGTTTAAAGGTCGATACAATGACTCTTTCAGCAAAGTCAAATATTGACTGACGTTTTCCAATCAATTTTTAGGCTATTATTTATACACAATATTGTCTACAAATTTTTTTTTCGTTTTCTGATCCTTACAAGGAGCAAACGTGAACGGTTGTTGTGACAGGTCGGCAGGGGATGTACACTCCATGGCACCTGATCCCACCTCTAAAGCTTTTAAGAGGACCGTGTTTGAACTGTTCCCGAATTGTATTATTTGAATGGAATTTAAGTTGCATTTTTTAATAGTTCATATGCATATGCAACAAATTCTTATGCGCTTTTGTACGCTATAAATGGAAGGGTTTCCAAGTTAATATCGTAATTTTTCTTTCCTACTTTTTTTTTTTTAATTATAGTTAACGAATATTTGCGTCCATTATAGTTTATTTGTTCTAGTTTTCGTATTGTTGATCTTTTTATAAAAGAAAAGAAAACACTTCATGAAGAATGTGATAAGTTTAAACAATAGCATCACTGCAAACTCCTAAATAAGCCTGTATTTTAGAGCTTGGTTTTTAGTTAGTTTATAAGTTTGGAAATCTAACTCATTTTCATATATCAACATTTAAGGAATTAAATCATCATTAAGTGACGGACTAAGGGACATTTAAGTGTTCTGTCTCGAGGTCTGAACATGTCAGGGAGGGTTTTTTTGTGGTGGGCCACACTTCTGTGAAATAAATGATGATGATGCATTTTCTAGTTTTTGAGACCCACACCTCAAGCTTTTATGAGAAAGAGAGAGAGTTTTGATGACTATCGTGACTACTTTAGATTCAGCAAGTGGCAACATACCATTATCACCTACAAATGGTTTTGTTTCCAAGTTTATTCAATATGCTTTAGCACATACTACAGTCAATAATATATGATACTTGAACCTTGCTTTCTTTATTTGCCAAATATGTATATCTATGATTCTTTATTAGAAATAAATTGTTTTATATCTCCTTGTATTGTACTGTACTTGTATGTCAAATTCAAGGATGTAAATATTGATATTTCAAATGAATATTGAATCATTGATATTGCTTGACATGATATGAGAATAAATAATAAATTATCAATATGTGTAGCTTTCAATAAATTCTCTTTTACCCTCAAAATAGCTATTGTCAACTTTTATATGAAATACAGTTGTATTTTAGTCATAAATGTATATTTGATGAAAGCAGGGAAAAGACAAAATGAATTCAATCTATTCATACTTGTGAAGAAAGGGATTTGATATATCCGACAGAATATTGACGCGCTTACTCATGTCAAATGGCATAACAGATATTGTCTGAGAATCTGAAATTTATTGGAACAACTTGTGGAGTTTTAAATCCAATTCTTTCTTCAATTTCTCTAGCATTACTTTAATCCGATGGGGAAAATAACTGCTCTCCTCTTGTATTTTTCATTAATAGAATATAATTTTGGAGAAAAAATGCGTCAATAAATCTTACTCACAAAATAATTGGATATACAAGAACTTTTCTTCGAGCAGAATCATAAATTGTGTCATTGTCCCTAATAAGGTCGTTCATTCATGTTGGTGATGCATATTTTGATGCACTCATGGATATATCTCAACCAAATCACATTACCATTTGATTTTTCTAGCTTTTTTTATGTTGGCCAATATTCAACAATGGTTGAATGAAGAAGGGAAAAAAGAACCGTATATATGGATAGCTATGAAATTTTGCAATTAAAATATGGCTTAACGAGCTTTAAGCACGTATGCATCTTCGAGTTTCAAAAATCACAATTAAATTACAATCTGAGCTTTAATGATTTATTTCTTATGTATAAAAGACTTCTCAAAAAATAAACAGCACATCATGTTAAGTTAAAGACGTATGTATACATGTACAGGATCGTCAAGACAGTTGGTGGTTGTATCGGTTGAACAAAATTTCATTTCTGCAAATGTGTAGACCTGCATAATTTTAACTCGACATTTTCTGCCTTGATTATGCATCCATTTTTGAAAGAAGTAAAAAAAATCCAGGTGTTTTTAAGCTTCATTTTTAGTTTTAAATACAACCTTTCACAACGTGAAATTGCAAAATGTTTGCAAGACGATAGATAATTTTAACGATCACTGAAATAAAAGAAACAAGAATGTAATCAGATGGGGAAAAGTTATACAGTAGGTTTTTATAAAAAAATTTTGTCAAGTCTGAATCAATTAAGAGATTTGGGTTGTTGAGTAATAACATAATTTTGATTGGAACTAGCATATATAAAAGTTTTTACAGATACAAATAAGCATACTCTCGCACATTCACATGCACACTTGTCCAAGCTCTCAAATACATGTACACATAAAAAATAAAATTGAGCATAGTTTCTGGTCCTTCATATCCTGATTTCTTTTGTTTCCAACATCAGCAGTGAACATAAAACTTTCTACGTTTGCACATATATAAAAAAAAAATCATAACACAATATTACAGGTCACAATAACTATTTTTTTAAAACTCATTTTACAAACATTCTCATAAAAAAAAATTCACTATCACACGTGTACAAACACGTAATAAATAAAATAGCTAAAAACATGACAAAGATCGACTAAAGGAGATCAAGAGTCACAAGCAAAATAAAAGTAAAGAAAGATAACGCGGATCTTCCGCTAGACGGAAACGCTGATTGTGACGATTGAGCTGAAATAGAAAGAGGCAAAATTAATAAATCATTATTTATTCAGCATGAATTTCCTTAAAATGAAGAATGATAGGCAAAATATTATTAAAGAGTTAAAATTATTTTTGTCTCAGCAAAAAAAAAAAAAAAAAAAAAAAAAGTTACTTTTGAGCTTAGTACGTTAATTTTACAAACATATCTACAAAATTAAATTATCAGTAACAAAATTAACAAAATGCTCTGTTTGGTTTTCCACAAATGTATTTAATTCTACCTTTGCATTGACTATTTAAAAAGTAGTGTGATAATAAAGTCCATCTACAAATTGTATATCGAACCTTTTCCTACTATTTTAATAGTACATGTATCTTATAATATGAAGAGAAAAAGACACTTAAAAGTATGACATGATGATGGTATTTTTGGAAACTTTTTACCGGAAAGCAGTCATTAAACAAGGAAAGCATTTCTGATTTTAACTCATCGTTTTAGCAAAAGATTGAACATTCCATGCCATTTACCCTGTTTCTTAAATAGGAAAGAACTGTAAATGAAATAAAATGAAAACAGAGTGCTAAATATATAATTTGTGAATAATAAAGATATAGAAAAGTTAACTTTGATGAAATCGAATATCTAATTACCGCAAACAAAACACTTTTTATCTATCAAAGGCCAATGATATTTCATCCATGTTTTATATATACATATGTATATATATATTTATCTGTTCTCAAGTATTCACTAAACAATTATTCAGCAGACTAACAAAGTTACTTCCCCATCCCATGTAAACAAAATATGAACGTGAATTTTATGTTCATTATAACATGAAATACTATTATTAAGTAATCATCCAAATCGACATCGAAATATCCATCACTTAACACATCGACGTACATACAAAACCTTATCTAGGTGAAGCAAATGGTGATAGCGAACAGTATTCAAGATCAAACGTCCTTTAAACAATACAAAAAAGGAGCAGAGCAAACACTGACCTCCAAACATCAGAGGTGCGATCAGGTGCATGGAGGAGTGAGTGTCCCCTGCTGACCGATCACACCCACCGTTTGCTCATTGTCATTATCGGGAAAAAACGGAAAAAAATCGTCGTCACTCCAGTGTATAAATAATGGACAATCAATTAGTACGAAAAACATCTGTCAGCCTGTGACTTAATTATAAATTCTTTTTTCTGACAAGTTCATTGTGTCGAAATAGAACTTACGAAATGATTACTTCAAGTTTCATCAACTTGTTTGTCAATAATTTACCTAGTTTTTGAAAATTTTCATACACAGAGCATGCTCTTGCGTATCGAATCAAATGAGATATATAAACTCCGTATGCAGATAGTGAAGGAATATTGCTGCATAAGTAAGGGAAGTTGAAAATTGTAAAGTTAAAGTCATGACGTTTATCGTAGAGCTTAGTTATTAGATTACCATTAACCTCTTTTTCACGTAAAATATCCAAATATGAAACAGATGAGTCAGACTCTGTGCTATATTTTATTTCAAGCGCACAAGGATACATCGTATCGACAAAAGAATAGAAATAACTTTTTTAAATTAAATTTACAATACGTTGTTGATTTATCTAAATGTCGAATTGAAGGCCACAGTAAGTGGGTTTTTTTCTTTTCAACCTTAAGATTTTGCACAAATTCTACTTCATATTCATACAAAAATAGGTCTGCTAAGATAGGGGCGCAATTGGTACCGATGGGAATTTTAATAAATTATTCGAAGACCTGGTTTCCAAAAACCACATATATATTGTCAATCAGAAAATCAAGCATCTTTTTGATGTCAGCTTCAGAGAACTTTTTTTTTCAACCAGAATGTTTTTTTAAATAATAATTTTGCAATATTTTTCAGATATGTTCCTTACCATTTTGATTTATATATCCATTCTTGACCATACATCCAGATTTGTCACTTACCATATTGACATACATAACCATGTATTCATATATCTGTCACTTACGTTATTGACATATATAACAATATATTCAGATAACAAACACTTACCATATTGACATATATAACCATACATCCAAAATGATCTTGAACAATCAGCTGATATTAGCTCGGGGTTCCCAGAGGCTATTGAAAGAAGGATGCACGGTCCTTGTGGGAACTCAGCTGTTGATTGAACAATGTTTGAAGACAATAGGACTTCTTGACCTTCGAAAAAGAGAAAAAGGCACATTTTTTTTATCCTTGTTTACAACCATTTCTTGTCATCAACAATTATTCATGCAATATGAATATGTTTTTTAAATCTTAACCAAATATAACACGTATTATATTTTTTAATGGAATTCAATATGAAACAATTTTAAAAGCAATTATTGTAAGTTGATTAAACGCGCGTGATATAAGGTCCTCAAAGTAAGAAGTAAAGTACTTAGATAGGGTCACTGAACCACACAGCGGTCAATAGAACGCTAACCCAATGAAAAGATATACTAAATGATATTCTGACATTTAATGATTTAAATGTATGCAATACATGGAGATAACGAACAGTATTCAAGATCAAACGTCTATTAAACAATAGAAAAAGAAGCGGAGCAAACATGGATCTCCAAAACATCAAGTGCCATGGAGGAGTAAGCATCCCCTACCGACCGGTCAAACCCGCCGTGTGCTCCTTGTCATGAGCGGGGAATAACTGAAAAATCCGTCGTCAATTCCGTATGTAAATAATGGCCTAACAATTAGTATGAAAAACGTCAGTCAGCATTAATTTTTTGACTTAGTTATAAATTTTAAATGCTGAGAAGGTCATTGTATCGACCATAGAACTTACGAAATGATGACTTAAATGAGATCGCTGATATTCTTGTTTAATCAACTTGTTTTTCAGTATTTTACCTCGTTTAATAAATTGTACATGTATATACGTAGAGCATGCTCTTGCATATCGAATCAATTGAGAGATATAGACTCCGTATGCCGTTGATGAAGGGATATTGCTGCATAAATAAGGGAAGTTGACGTGTTAAACTTAACAAAAAGGACGTATCATAACCTGCTTACAACCAAAGCAATGCAAAATAATTGTTAGTAAAAAGAACATTATTCAGATCTAATGAATGACTTTACATTATGTACCATTTTCACTTTGAATACGCCCCCTGGTGATATTCATTCCTACCCAGAATACAGTGCTGCTCAGTATTCCGGATTCACTCTGTTGTTTGATGCGATTCCCTATGGCTGTTAGGGTCGAGTTTTGTCTGAGCACCCCAAGGTGTCCCCCTCCTGTGACACACCTCTCAGAGGCAGCCTGACGCGGGAGGCTCTGGGCGACAACTTGATAACAGGAGTTGTCCGACGGTACAAGCTCGCCCGTGGAGATACCAACAGCACATCCTGAAATAGAGAAAGAATAAAATAAGATAAAAACCGATAAAATCAGGTTAGTGTTATCAATATCAGCTAGACAAAAATTGAATCAATATCTACGTATATAAAATATAGGAATATAATATCAGAAGTTAAAGAGGATTCCGTCCAGTTTGTGTAACGGAAACCGATACATGTAAACTTACAATTTAATTAAAATTAGCTTAAATCAATAAATGAATGATTGTACTTAAAGTTGTATTCCAATTACTAACAATCTTTTGACAAACTACTTTGATAGAGGGACTCTTAAGTCCTATCTAGTGATTTGAAGTTTAATTGTAGATTTATTGTTATGACTAACTCATTCTTTAAAGAGAAACTTCAGTATTGTCAAAAGTATAAATCTTCACGAGTTTGATATAACAAATAATCGAGGTACATTTTAGTTTGATTTCTGTTTTAGAAGACAAATTTAGCAATTCATATCAATGATTTTTTTTTACTTCCCTTATAGCTGTACTTTGAATTTATCTGAGAGTAACCTATCATTATGAAGAATTAATGTAGCCATATAGACTGTTGATCATAAACAAATCATCTTCCTTTTCATTGTGACTTGACCTATACATTAATATTTCTATTTTTTAACTTCTGTTTTGATAAGAATCTTCATTGAAAAATTAACAAAGAAAAAAAAACACAGAAAAAAATGTTTTAAAACAAATCTCTTTACCTAAGCTTGTTATAACACAGTCCAATACACACAAACACAAAAATGCTGCCCACTTCATCGTGTTGATGCTTCAAGCTGATTAGTTTTCGCGGGTGCGTGTCTTTTTCCGGATGATTTCGTGATCTAAGTGGATCCTAAAGAGTATGTGTCACTAGCGGGACAGACTCATCACCTTCCTTTTATGGTTATGGATATGTGAAAAAAAATGACGAACCAAACTTACAATTTTTAATATTTTGTCATCAGCAGCTGTTTAAAACTAAAAATAAATCTTATATTTTAGAAAAGTAAAGTTAGGACATGAAACACAGAAATGATATCCTTAAAGTTCAATTGTATTTCCTCCCTTACATTGAAAGAATGGCGTGCAGGGTTTTATCTCCAATATTTCCGACAGTGTTACGAAATGATACGCGATATAAGTATTTTAAACTCTTGTTCGCTTGTTTACATTTGAAGGAGTTTTATTCAAGATTTCAATGTTCGAGGGGAAAGAATTGGCTTTAAAAAAGACATGAGCAGATTTTCGTTGGAAAGGGACTAGTTTGAAATTAATATACTGACGTACAGGATACCATACGAGTAATATGCTATACTGAAAAAGAGATTTACAGGTCACATCACTTTACAATCAATTTAAATTATGTTTCAGACATTTTATTCATAAAACTTCTTATAAACAAAGATATATTGCAGGTTCTAGTAAATGTTCAACCAGGCCTCTTTTTTACTCCTCACTAAAATGTTAACAGTAGTGAACTCTGAAAGTTCAAGAGTACTGTGCAACATTATATTCAAGAAGTGATGTAAATCAGATGTGGATACTTAGAAATTCCAGGGAACTTTTGGACAATTTGAAATCACGAGATTTTACCTTAATTAACAGCTTAAAAACTTAGGACTTTTCAACTTTATACACAAAAATACCCCATGATAAATTAAAGTTCAGGCTTTTTGATATAAATGACAGCTGCTTTTTCAATAAAAATTGAACTCGTAAATTTTCTTACCCTGTCATTGGTCATTTGCAAAATGATTTTTTTAAAAAACATTTTGATTATCCAGTCAAGTACTTTGAAGTTGAAATCAAACAGATGCTTTAATTTCTCAATGACAATATCAATGTTGATTTTTGGAGACCAACAATCTATTGGAATTCCCAAGAGTACCAGTTGCGCCCTGTTATTAGCAGATCTAGACCTATTTTCATTCAATTCATACGGAGCAGAATTCGTTCGAAATCTTATATGACTACCGAGAAAAGAAGAAAACACTTGCTGTGGCCTTCAACTTGACATTCTGATATATCGACGACGTATTGACAATTAACAATTGTAATTTATATTCTTATGTCGATACGATATATCCTGGTGAGCTTGAGCTAAAAGATACGACAGAGTCTGACACATCTGTTTCATACTTGGATATTTTACTTGAAAAAGACGTTAATGGTAATCTGACAACCAAGCTATATTGTAAACGTGGTGACTTTAACTTTTCTATCGTCAACTTCCCTTACTTATGCAGCAATATATACCTTCATCACCTGCATATGGAGTACATTTATCTCAGTTGATTCACACGCAAAAGCATGCTCTACTTGTGAACAATTTCTAAGACGGGGTCAATTATTGACAAGCAAGATGATGAAACAAGAATATCAGCAGTCTTGTTTTGAAGTCATCATTTCATAAGTTCTATGGTCGATACAATGACCTTGTCAGCAAATACAATTTATCATTGAGTCAAATGCTGACTGACGTTTTTCATTCTAATTGTTAGTCCATTATTTTTACACTGAATAGACGACGGATTTTTCCGTTATTTCCTGATCATGACAAGTAGCACACGGCGGGTGTGACCGGTCAGCAGGGGATGTTCACTTCTCCATGGCACCTGATCCCACCTCTGATGTTTCGGAGGTCCCTGTTTGCTCTGCTCCTATTTTGTATTGTTTTATGGACTTTGAGATTGAATACTGTTCGTTATCACCATATCCATCTCGAAAAGAACTTTAATGGAAATGTTACTAAAAAGCTCTGTGATAAACGGCATGACTTTTACTTTTCAATTGTCAGCTTCCCTTACTTAAGCAGCAATATATCTTCATCACTGCTTACGGAGTTTATATATCTCAGTTGATTCGACATGCAAGAGCATGTTTTACATCGGAACGATTTCTAAAACGAGGTAATTATGGCTTAATAAGTTGATGAAACAAGAATATCAGCAGTCTCGATTAAAGTCATCATTCTTAATTTTTATGGTCAATACAATGACATTGACAGCGAAAAAAAAATCATCATTGAATCAAATGCTGAATGACGTTTTACATACTAATTGTTAGTCCATTATTTAAACACTGAATTGACGACAGATTTTTCAGTTATTTCCCGAATATGACAAGGAGCACTACGGCGGGGGATGCTTACTCCTTCATGGTACCTTATCCCCACCTCTGATGTATTGGAGGTCCGTGTTTGCTCTACTCCTATTTCATATTGTTTTATGGACAATTGATATTGAATACTGTTCGTTATCTCCATATGTTTCATGTACTGAAACTTTCATCAGAATAAAGTTGTTTGAAGGTGATAATAAATGGGTTGTACAGACAAAATGAGTTTTTATTTAAACGAAAATAAAGGCAAACTCATCAGCATTAATTAAGATATACCTACAACATGCAATATGAATACTACATAAATGTCAATATTGCTTTGACTATTATTTCATTCTTGTTTTACTTATAAACATGTACTCCTCATTCGGTTAAAAAAATTACTTGTAAATTGTAAATCCAGGGACGTTGCTAGGTCTTTTAAGAAAAAAATGCGTAAACATTCATTCATAAATTTGTATTCAAGATATCAACCTATAGCTACAAAAAATAAATTAAAAGTTTATATTGATTAGTGATTACACTAATTGACCAAAGTCGTACAAAGGTCAATTTCATTGTAATTAACTGCCTTTCATATTCTCATCTAGATTCTCTGTCAATTTCATATTATACACTGAAAGCGATGTGGAGGCCTCCAAAAGTCAAACAATGAATAGAAAGGGTATAAATATTACAGACTCCATACTGACCCAACCAAAGTAAGTGTCTATCTGATTAATATTAATCATGGTTGATCACATTTGATTCCTTTTGAGGCACTCTACAACTGTAACCGTTTGCGCAAATACGAAACAACGGCATTTTTTTTCTATTACTTCACTGACTTTTGTGTAATCCCTAGTAACATTTTAAGAACAAAAGATACCAAAGATACCATAATTTAAGATTTAAAACTGATGTAGAAATGAAATTTATATAGATAAGTAACAACATTCAAGCTCAAAGTTATTTATTTCTTAAATTTCTAATTCAGGTGCTTTTTTTTTTTTTACACCTTTTACTCATCAAATATTGTAAGCTAATATTTTTTTGTATTTTTTAACAAAAATAATTATTACATGTACCTTGATCGTATAAAACTAGTTGTCTATTGCAAACTTCATATTTAATTAGCGTGGGTAAAAACTTTAAAAGTTACTTTGTATTTCCTTTCAGATTTTATTGTTAATATCAATGGGTTTGATTTGGCTAATTTGATCAATTTCAGTGAAGCAATTTACAAAATAAAAGTTCATTGTATTAATATTAAAATCTGACTTGTTTTATTTAGATAATTATAGTTAATGAAATTAAAATTTATTTCCAATAGCTTAGTAATGGGAGGAGGGAGTATCATTTAGTGAGCTCATTGCTAACAGTACCACTAGTGTAGTTATTGGTTTTGATACATCATTACTATCCACCCTGGTTTAATAATTCTTTATCTGATTTTACTGACACCTATGTTTGTTATGAATAATTTTTATGATTATGAATATTTTCCAAGATTAATTTTCCAATGAAATGTCCATTCTTAACGTTATAGGTTTACAGCCTTCAGATGATTTATATTTAATAAATAATATGCATATAAATATATATAGAGACACACGGCGCTTCGTAGCCGCTCGCTCGTAGCCGCTGCATGTTATGTCTCTCTTGACCCAGTGAATAAGCTAACGCTCTTATATATTATATATGTCCTAGTATGTTATGTCTCTCTTGACCCATGGTTAATACAGCTTTTTCTAAAATTCAGATCTCTACTTTCAATAAGCTAACGCTCTTATATATTATATATGTCGTTTTTCATTTAAAGTAATATTTATTATCCATACTTCTACTTTTAAACAATACATCACACAGGAAAGACATTGTTATTCTGAATTGCACAAATAAAGAAAAAAATAGTCTAAACATTTTATGAAATTGAGTTAACAATAGCCTTTTATTTCCTGGTTTCAATGTGTACTGCGTATTAGTAAAGCATAGCACGATGAACCAGTCGACACCACATTATGACTTTTCTATATGTTATAGAAATGACACCGCCACATCCTGGGTTCCAGCTGGAATGGAATACTTCTTTGGAGTATCTGGCAATGTCATAGCCTTTATTCTTCTCTGGGTCAACCGTAGGGAACACCGATGGTTTTCGTTCTTCAAACTGTTCACAGGTCTGGTCATTACCGACTTTTTGGGAGTATTTCTTGCTTACCCTTTTATTATGGCAAGATATGCCTCTGGATTCAAGTGGTGTTACCCGGAACGTCTTTGTGAATTCTGTTCTTTCGTGTTTGTGGATGCTCATTTATCGGCAGCTCTACTGATTTGTGCAATGTCAGTCGATCGGTTTATGCATTTAAGGAACACTGAGGGCTACCTGAATTCACGCATAAACTATACTTTCGTTCTGATAGGAATTTGGTGTGGAGCCAGTATCATCTCTCTTCTGCACTTAGTTGGAGTTGGACAAAGTAACTTATATTTTCCTGGCTCGTGGTGTTATTTTGATTTTGTGGGCGATTCAACTGGAAACCGCGTCATGTCATACCTTTATTCTGTAATTGGTTTCATTGTCATACTCGTTACTGTTGCAATTAATGTCGTTACAATGTACAGGATATGCAGAGACCCAGTACAAAGAGGGAACCTTCTGGATACAAGTGTTGTTTCCGGATTTTATGATTCTCATGTAATGATTTTCATAAGTGCAGTAACTGTTGTGTTTGTCATTCTGTGGACGCCTCTAGTTGTGAGTAAATCTATTTTCTCTTTTGATACCTCTTGCTAAGTCTTAAACTTGTATCAAAAGCACAATCAATGCATTTTTGATCTTTTATCTGTAGGTGGACATCTTTCTGCATGCCACCAATATTAGAACAAGAAATGACAACAACGGTATTGAGCTATGGCTTTTACGAATGGCTGTCTTAAATGCTATTGTTGACCCTTGGTTGTATATAGTGCTCAGGAAGGAGTCGTTGCGCCAAATCGTCATTTGTTTCCGCTATTGTAGAAAAAGTTCAGAGGCAAAGGAATTCAAAGAAACAGATGAATTGCTTCCCTGATTTAATATACTGTGCATAAAAATGAATTTGCCATTAAGAAGGCAGAAGTCATGTCAATATAAATTGATTTGTTCTGTTTTACAGCACGAAATTGAGTTGTTTTATCCTCCCCCCGTAATTACATATTCGGGGATATATCGGTTTCGTCCGGTCCGTCTGACTGTCTGTACGCAAAATTTTAACCTTACCAGTAGCGTTTCATTTCTTTGAGCTATGTCTTTTATATTTCACATAGGTATTCCTTGTCCCAAGGTATTTCTTTGAGTACAAACATTATTTTAAGTCTTGAGCCTGAACTTGAGTTTGAGGCAAAACCTCGGATAAAACTTTTGAACAGTTTGAGCTAAGGTTTCCATACCTCACACATGTGCATTCACAATGACAAGTCCTTTCCATGGAGATAAAATTTCTGACACATTGACCTTCGAGTTTAACCAAGATATTATCCGTGGCCATAAGGTCTGAAAAGTTGGTACAAGGGCTTAAATATTTAACATGTTTTGTTGTCATACGGGGCAATTAGTATTTCATAAATACATATTGTTGCAAGTGTTATCATATATAATATTTTGTTAATTACGTTTTTTTAAGTTTGTGAGAGTACTGTTAATAAAATATGTACATGTATATAGTCTAACATGGGTTCCTGTAAAGACTCGAGCTATTAACAGTGGAACAGAGAAAGAAAAATTGGAATGTTTACAGAAACTCCTGAAAGAAAGTTTCTGTAGTAGAACCTTTATTTCTTGACTGGAATTGAAACCTAACACACATATCTGTAAATGGAAACACATATAAACAGGTTTTATAGTCATTCATAAATAGAACAACAGCTATGAAGTATTGTAAACAAATGAATTAAAAATAATTGTTTTTTAATAGATTATACGTCATAACGTTACAAAAAATGCACTAATTTGGAAGATAAGTCTAATTGTTACATTCAATGTCTTTATGTGGTCCAATGTTGTTTGAAAGCGCGACTTTCTATCTAGTTATGACTGTGAATTTTCCACCTGTAAGATGAGGCAACAGGGATAAGTTGATGGATATAATTTTAAAATTTACAGTTTTAAAAATATTATCATTCAACATGTTTGCAAAAAAAAAGCTTTTTAATCCTCAATTTATTTTTAAGTTCATTGCTTTAGGAACCAGGCATAAATAATATATTCTTTGTTGTCTAGTTTTTCGGAACTTTGTAATGGAGATTGAATAATTAATGTTACATTGTACAAGTATTAAATTACTAGCCTAGTGAAACAAGTACTTACAAGTCAGTCAACTAATTATCAAAATGTAACTTCCTGTCTGATTCAACGTCACAATTTCATACAGTGTTATATTTTTTCCTGTTCTATCATATAAGAATTTCATCAGTATTAATTATGATTTCTTCTAAATTCCTGTATCCTTGTTGTTTTTTCTGCGGAATTTTGGTGTTTTCCGAGATAAAGGATATACATGTGTGTTGTATAAATCAACATTTGTTTAAGTATTGAAATGTCAAGATAGTATGAAAATCATACATTATTTCACTTTGATTGTTATGCTATGTAAAATGTTTTTGTTTTTTTTTTGTTCTGAAGATTAAGGATTCAAAAGAAGCTATCCGATCAATGTGTTATTTTTACACAATAAAACATTGAATGAAAGTAAAGTTAACGTTTATTTCTTATAATACGAACACAAGGTATTGAGTAATTTTAAATATATGTAGGATCTCCCATGGTTTGTGGTTTGATATGATTTTTATCCAACGAGTTGTGTGTTTTCTATCCCCGAGCCTTGGCGAGGGGATAGAAAACACACAACGAGTTGGATAAAAATCATATCAAACCACAAACCATGGGACATTCTTTTTATCACATATTTTTGTTCACTATAAATGTGTATTTTGTCGTTATTTCTAATTCAAAGTTCCTTTTCGGTTACCTCGGACCACATAACGTAGTTCGTACAAATATAAAAGAAAGAAAATATTTCAGCGCTTATTTTTTTAATTCATGAATGAAATCTTGTTAAAATACATCAAATAAAGTGAAATTTGACAAATTAAGTCATTCTCTCCATCATACACATGTATTTGTTTATTTACATTACGTCACGCGGCGTAGGAATACATAGTGTTGATACGAAAACGATATCACATGAGCTATATCAACGGGATAAAGGGGAAAATATGTGATAAATCGCATATATCAAATATAAGTATCTGCTAAGAGGAGGGATGGCATATTATTATACCTCATTATAAATATTCTAAACAACGCGTTATCTGATTGGTTCTAGGTTATCACATGATCGGGGCGTAAAACTTCATATTTCCCGGCAGTCGGCACGCTTTTCATCATATTCCACCTCTTCGGAACACCTAGTGTATTTTCCCGCAATATAGTTCTCGTTCGTTGAACGAAAACTCTTGAGAGAAGTAGACGTCACAATAGACTGGTTTACGTCACAAAAATGATGACAATGTGTTGAACAAAGGGTTTTATAGTAACTTTACGTTAAAAATGAAAGTGAATTTGAGAGCGATGCCGAATTTGAAAGTTTATGTTTATTTCAAAGGTTTTGCTTGTTTCGGTATAATAAACAATTCATTGCATGAATGTTCGGGAAACATGAAGACTTATTCAGCCAAGAAATATCATATATGATTTTTCTTGGCTGAATAAGTCTTCATATTTCCCTCACTATCATGCAATAAATGTATAATATTACACTTTCGTGTAAATTAGTTGAATCTGATAGGTCGAGAAGCATTTGTTAAAAAACACTATTACCCGCTGAATAATGAAGCCACGCCCTCCAGCCTAGTTACAATCAACAGTGCTTGACGACGGGTGATATTCCAAAAAATGTGCAGACGCGCACGGTTCACTGTTATATGTATTTGTATAAAACATTCAGTATAATATAATAATTATTCCAGGTAGTTGAGTGTAACATTGAAAATTTTCACCCCTCGAAAACCATTGTCAACCTCGGATGCGCCTCGGTTGACAATGGTTTGTCATGATCGGGAAATAATGGGAAAATTCGTCGTCAGTTCAATGTATAAATAATGGACTAACAATAAGTATGATAAACGACAGTCAGCATTTGACCCAGTGATAAATTGTATTTGCTGACAAGGTCATTGTACTGACCACAGAACTTACGAAATGATGACTTTAAACGAGACTGCTGATATTCTTGTTTCATCAACTTGTTTGTCAATAATTTAATTCGTTTTAGAGAAATTGTTCATAGTTAGAGCATGCTATTGCCTATCGAATCAACTGACTCAGAGGTACATAAACTCGATCTGTATGCAGGTGATGACGACGAAGAAACAATGAAACCATGTACATGCACTTGAGAACTGTTATAATCTATCAGTCAAGAGCTTATCAAAGTCCTTCCAATTACAATGTGCGAAATATGTCTTCTTGTAAGTAAAATAAAATTAAAATAAATTAAACACTCACTTTTAAATATCTTATGTTGCCCCTTTTTACAATTTAGCATTGTTACAATGTGACATTAATTTGTGCGAAAAACTATGAATGTTTTAAGAAGTGCGCGGAGCTGTAAATGAATAATTAAGGAGTAAATTGATTGGACGAGTTTAGAATCAAACTTATCACATATGCCTTTGATTCAGTGTATATTCCTAGCTACTTACTTTCTACAGTTTTACTTTCTGCTTCTCACAAGTTTGAAATGTATGTGGCATTTTATCTAAGTAAAGGAAAACAACTCTCTATGACGTAGTTTACAATCTTGCCAGATCTTGAATTTGATCGGAAAACATAATTAATGTTGACATGTTTTTATGTTGATCAATCGAAAATGATCAAAATAATTATTACCTCAATTATTTAAAATATTTTGCTTCTATGAAATACATCAGCATCAAAGATGAATGATTTTTCATTATTATTATTATATTTAAAAAATAATATTTAAAAATCACTTTTAAAATCGACTCAGGAGTAGAGGGCCTCATAAATGATAGGTAGATAAAGAGATGATTTATCTGTAACCTGGTCGGCCAATCTTACAGTATATACGTATTCATCATAGTGTATGGTAGACACAATTTTAAACATCATGGTATCTATAGATCAGAGTTATGAAGTTTGCTCTCGGAATGACACCTCCACATCCTGGGTTCCAGCTGGAATGGAATACTTCTTTGGAGTATCTGGTAATACCATTGCCCTCATTCTTCTGTGGATCAATCGAAAGGAACACCGGTGGCAATCATTCTACAAACTTTTTACCGGTCTCATCCTCACCGATTTCCTCGGAATATTTCTAGTTTATCCCTTTGTCATGAAGAGATACTCCTCGGATTTCACGTGGTGCTACCCGACGTCTCTTTGTCAATTCACTTCCTTTGTTTTTGTCAATGCCCACTTATCAGAGGCGTTCATTATCTGTGCCATGTCTGTTGACCGATTCATAAGCCTTACACCCACAGAAAACCAATCCAGAAGATACACCCTCGCCCTGATAGGAATATGGATCGCAGCAAGTTTTATAGCCTGGCTTGTTACATCTTATGGGAGTCGGACAAGAAAATCTTTATTTTCCCGGCTCATGGTGCTACTTTGACTTTGTTGGTAATACCACAGGAAACCGTGTCATGTCATACATCTATGCTTTGATAGGAATATCTATCCTTTCTGTTACCAGTACTATTAACGCTATCACAATCTATCGAATCTGGAGAGACCCGGACCGATTAAGATATCTTGAAGACACGAGACGTATTTCTGGATCCCTTGATTCTCACGTAATGATTTTCATAAGTGCAGTCACTGTGGTATTTGTTATTTTATGGACTCCCCTAATTGTAAGTAAAGTCATTTCTGTTATCCAATTCTACAAATAAAAATTAGTTTAAGAAAACCTTTAAATTATGGTTTTACTTTTAACATATTACAGGTTGTTGTTTTCCTGCATGCTGCAAATATACGAAACGAAAACAATGAGGTGGAATTGTGGTTCCTGAGAATGACCGTCTGCAATGCCATAGTCGACCCATGGCTTTATATTGTACTTAGGAAGGAATCCCTGGAAAAGATCATTTATATCTTACGCCAGTGCACAGGAAACCCATCCCAGGAAAACGAGGCTTTAATTTCATAATACACACTACATGTACCTTTATCATTACTGATTTATTAAGACAGAGGCTTAAGAGGACATAATATATTGTATCAATGTCACCCATATTTTGAATTTTAGTACAGATGTATTCGATAATATCTAGCAAATAATAATGAAGAAATTATAAACAATCAATGATAAAAATACAAAATAATATTCTGAAGGAAATGAAGAATGTTATGTGGTAATAAGATTTAATAAAATTAACATAAGATAAGTCGTTTTATGAAATCGTTCTTAGCAAACAATTTGTTGTCTGCAAGAAAGGTCAGTTGTGATTTTTTTTTAGATCAGAAACGGTTGAACTCGTATTTAAATAGGTAAATTATTGACAAACATGTTGATGAAACAAGAATACCAGCAGTCTCGTTTAAAGTAATCATTTTGTAAGTTCCATGGTGTATACAATGACCTTGTCAGCAAATACAATTTATCATTAAGTCAAATGCTGACTGACGTTTTTCATACTTATTGTTAGTCCATTATTTATACACTGAAATGACGGATTTTTTCGTTATTTCCCGATCATGACAAGGAGCACACGGCAGGTGTGAGCGGTGGGCAGGGGATGCTCATTCCTCCATGGCACCTGATCCCACTTCTGATGTTTTGGAGGTCCGTGTTTGCTATGCTACTATTCTGTATTGTTTCATGGACTTTTGATCTTGAATTCTGTTCTTTATCTCCATATGTTTCATACACTTGTTTGATTAGTTGTATGCTGTTTTACGTACCATTAATTTTTTTTTCACTCATTTAAAGACTGAGACTCCAACATATATTAGTGACTGGCTTCAAATTAATACCTTTTCTTGGCATTTAGGGCCATTGAGCAATGAGGGTTATTTATCGTGCAAATACCTACCGTGACATAAGACCTCGATTTTAAATGTCTCAGTATGGAAGGAACCCCAAGTTTCACTTAACTGAATGTGCCGAACGCCCGACGAAGGAACAGTTGCTACCTATTTCGTCTTAAGCCAGTTGCGGAATACACGATTCGAACACACAACATCCGATCACGGAGCGAATACTCTACCGAAAGAGATACCGTGACGTCGAGATACACTTGTAATTAGAATAACATTTCTAATTAAGATTTGATAGTTATTACTTGACTAAATAAAGCACTTTTTATAGTCGTTATTGTAGGTGGGAATCCGTATTCTGTGATCAGAAACCCGTTGTTTCAAACATTGACCGCGATTTAACTAATTTTTGGGAAAGGGTAGTAACTGATCCTTCGACAAGCGCTTGCCAAGCGAAAGTTGTGTGTCTGTTGGGATAGAACATAAAAAATGAGGCCTCGTATCGTTTGGGAAAGATCCCTTTCTGCTCGATGACCCTGAATGCCAAGTATAGATTTAAATTTAGACCTTCAACGTTATATGGTGAATAATTCACGAATGGGCTGTTAACCTAGAACACACAAACTTTAATTCCATATTCACATTATAAAGAGAAAAATAAATGTATTATGGAACAATTGAATAAAATTAATGCCAGTATCAGTGGAGTAAATGACTGTCCATATGTCCTATTTTAAATTGAAACAAATATAAAATCAAACCCTTTGATTAACCTAATTTACCAAGAATCGAGGTCTCCATAGTGACTGTAGAGATTTGTGCGAAAGACCTTGTAAGTCTCCACAGTAAATAAAATTAAATATGATTTTTATTGATTCTCCCTTGAATTCCTCTCTCTCTCTCTCTCTCTCTCTCTCTCTCTCTCTCTCTCTCTCTCTCTCTCTCTCTCTCTCTCTCTCTCACATATTTCCTAAATCTCGACAATTAGAAAAAGTTCGATTTATTTTGGTATTCAAAGCACTATCATTGTAAATTCTTGCATTTGAAAACTTAGACATTGCAAATGTTTTAGGTCCTTTATTACACAGATAATAAATCGTTTATCAACGAGGGATATGATTGCATATTCTGCAACCAATCATATGGCTTTTTGTGGATTTTTTGCCCTGAACATATTAATCTTATCTTGGATTGATAAAGAAACCTGCAATGATTTGATAGAGATAGTGATTAAACATATCATTCATCTGTTGATATTTTTTCCAACCTAATTAATGATATCATATTTAGGTCTTTGAATGCTGTACAATCTTTTTAGTAAATTAAACCATTATTTCTTCATTTTTCTTTCTTCGGAGGGGATTTTTTTTAACTGAGTATGTATGCTTGTTTGCATAGTATGTTTTATTGTTTTGATCGTTCTTTCTCCACAAGCTGTTAATCAACTTTTATTCGCCTGCGATTAACATTAACGACTTAATTTAATTCGCGAATATTTATCGCCATGAACCATTTAATTTGGTATATTGGTAGCGAATGATTCCTCGGTCGCAAAAATTAATTGTCGTTGATTCACCGACAATATATATGCATGATTTGTTTCACCCATATTTTTGTTGTTATTTTTAAAAGGAATGTATTTTCATTCAAAATTATCACAAATTGAAAACAACTATTATCATTTTTTCAATTAAAGAGACATTGTTTTCTCAAGAATTCAAAACAACTGAAAATCTTTAATATAATGTAATGTTAGAGAGAATATCACGAGGTCAATAAAATAATAGTTAAAACAGCATTTTGAACAAACTGATAAATGTTCAAGGATCAAATTTTCGTGGTATCGGCAACATATATTAGTATGGCACGCCAAATTCACAAAAATGAGCTAAACATAGTTTCACAGTCGATAAACTAGGTTTATCGGTTGTAAACTATAGTTTACGGACTGTAAACTATAGTTAACAACGTTAATCTATATTTTACATCCGTAAACCATAGTTAACGCGATAATCTATGTTTCACAACCGTAAACTATACTTAACACTGAAAACAATCATTTGCGATTGCAAAACATAGATTATCTGATAAATACAGTTTCACGATTTGTAAACTATAGTTTACAAACCGTTAACTATAGTTAACGATCTGATAAATATAGTTTCACAATTTGTGAAACTATGATTAACAACTCTTAACTATAGTTTACAAACGTGAATCTATGTTTATCAACAAAATCTATTGTTCACGCTTTTTACAGACACATAAACTTAGATTATCATTCGTAAACTATAGTTAACAACCGTTAAATATAGTTTTACAGATGAAAACTATACTTAACGAATCGTTAACTATAGTTTACGGTTTGTAAACTATAGTTTACAGTCGATAAACCTAGTTTATCAAATGTAAAACTAGGTTTATCTCATTTTTGTGAATTTGGCGTGCCATATATTAGTTTGGGGATTTAATTAAGAGAAATGAAATAATATATAAGAATTTGAAATGGAGGACATTAATTCGTTCATTAATTAATTCTTTTCATGAAAACAACGAAAATTAACCCCTCACAAAAATGAGTGAAATCACTATATGTTGCATTCTCAAGTAAAATTTGAAGCTAATGAACATTATCTAAGCTAAAAATATCAACATTGTTATTTCAAAAGAATTCAAGAAACAAGAGAGTTCGGGTAAAATACATTGCATGGACAAGTATTTTCTTCTTAGACATCACAGCCTTCGTGAGTTCTCTGTTTTTATTTGTTAATTCATAGATAAATCAGTTGGACAATATAGGCAAGACTGCAGTATACTTTCGTCCTAATACTGTATTATTTACCCAAACAACGTCATTCTAAGGACCATAATAATTCACAATTATTTGACATTAAAGACAAATAATTTAACCAGTCTTTTTTTTCTTTCAAAATTCTTACATGATTGCTTTCAATTGTTTTTCCAATATGCGAAAACTCTTAGCAAGAAAGTAATAACTGTTAATTTAATCAATGTTATGTTTGACCAAGTAGAAAAACTAATAGCAAATGGGAAATTATAACAGTGCAATGGAAATTTAGAAACTCTAGAATTTTTTCTTAATTAATTAATTCTTGGAAAATTTACAACAGTTAACTGAAGAGTACGAAAACCCTTCCGTGTTTGAGATATTTTATAGTCTCGGTTTTCTAAAATTGATCTCATAATATTGTTATTAAGATGTCATTGCATAGCAAAATATGCTTATACTTTAAATTTATATCTAATTTAACTTTGTCTTTTGGGAACAGAACATCATTCTCATTGAATATCTTGGTTAATTAATTTGTATATTTATTGATCCAGCCGTTTTATTCACCAAAGTCAACTTTCCCATTAGACTGAATTTTGAAACATGACACTACAATTGCTAGGCCCCTTGCAGAAAGGGTTTTACAGTCAACTGAAAATTAAAATGTTCCTTGTTTATTATGTCATCAACAGTCTAGCTTAAATTCATCACTTTGCAAGTTCTATGGTCGATACAAAGACCAAATACACCATATACAAGCTATCATTTAGCCAAATGCTTGATGGGTTTTGTTCATACTGATTATTATGCTATTTTTTACACACTGATTTGTCTACAAATTTGTCCAAATCGTGAATAGGTGCACGCGGGTGGTGTTATCGTTTGCTAGGGGATGCTTACTCCTCCATGAGACCTGATCACACCTCTGAAGTTTCAGAGGTCATTTTGCTCTGGTCCTGATTTGGATCGTTTGAATGTACCTTTGAGCTTAAATATTTTACGTTATCAACATATTCTATCCTTTTATTTATGAAGAAAAACAGTTGTCGTCGACTCATCATAGTTAATTACTGTTCATTACATTGTTTTCTGATTTGAATTTACTTTTAAAGTATATTTGTTTATCCGAATAACAATAACTATAGTGAATAATTCATACTGTACATACATTTTCATTAAACTATTTAAACATTGTCGATTTTAAGCTCACTTGCACTGAGTTTAGGAGGGAGTTGATTTATTGCCTCCAAACAATGATATCGCCAATGAAAGGTTTACTTTGAAACTGTGCCTATCAATATGATATGAAAATGAGAGTGCTGGATGAGAACAGAATTAGATACTAATTATCAAATAGGAAGTATATATAATAATTTCTGATATAGTTATAAACTATCCAAATATACACTTAGATGTCAAATAGATGTCAACTATTTCAATTTATATTAGAATGATGAGGACTTAGAGATGGCGAACCGGACTAATTATCCGTATGATATATGTAACGGAACTGTGGATTCTTCGTGGATACCCACTGCTCTGCAGTTCTTTTTCGGTATTATAGGGAATGCAATAGCAATGATATTAGTGTGGATAAATCGAAGGGATCACAGATGGTCTTCTTTCTACAAAATGTTTGCTGCCCTCGCGTTAACGGATTTCTTAGGAGTTTTATTAACTTATCCTTTTGCAATCATGAGATACATTTCTGATTTTACATACTGCTTTCCAATAAAAATTTGTGAATCTATTTCTTTTGTAATGGTGGACGCCCATTTAGCTGCTGCCTTATTAATATGTGCCCTGTCATTTGACAGACTTCTTGTTCTCATAAATCCTTACCATTACAGGAGCCGAGATTTGGGTAGACGATATGTTGTCGTGATTATAGCAATATGGCTGTTTTCATCGGTCTTCTCAATGCTACAGTTGGTTGGTGTAGGCAAAGCTGAACTTTATTTTCCGGGATCCTGGTGCTATTTTGATTTCGTGAAGCCTAGTATCGGGAGTCTTTTCTCTGCTTATTTTTATTCAGTCGTCAGCTTCTCAATAATTTTGATTACTGTAGTGGTAAATGTTTTCACTATGTGGAAAATTTGCCACGACCCAGCTGCTAAGGGGACTCTATTAGACTCCAGTCTCGTCTCCGGATATTACGACTCCCACGTCATAGTTTTTATCATTGCAGTTACAATCTCCTTTGTAGCTACCTGTACCCCTTTAATTGTGAGTATGAAGTTACGGTTTCATATGTTTAATTTGATAAAATTACTAACAACAGAAGAACATTTACTACAAACATAATTTTTAGCTCACCTCAACGAAGTTGGGGGGAGCTTATGTGATACCCTCGGCGTCGGCGTCGGCGTCCCAGGTTAAGGTTAAGTTTTTTGGAGCAGTTTTCTTTTTAATTACTTCCGTGTCCTATACTGATTAGACATGCATGGAATATGGTTTTAGTGTGTTTTATTGTACCAGACAAAGTTTCAGATGCTGCAATTTCAGCAAAGGAATTACCAGGTTAATGTTTTTGGAGCAGGTTAACATTTTTGGTGCAGTTTTTGGTGTGGGTTTCATTTCCAAGTAACTATAAGCCCTATGTTGACCAAACTTGCATGGATGATACATCTAAGGATGCATACTACCGGGCTTGCTTCGGATGCTGAATCTGACCTACATTTTCCGGTTGAGTGAACAGGTTAAAGTTTTTGGTGTATGTTTCATTTCCAAGTAACTATAAGCCCTATGTTGACCAAACTTGCATGGATGATACATCTAAGGATGCATACTACCGGACTTGCTTCGGATGCTGAATCTGACCTACATTTTCCGGTTGAGTGAACAGGTTAAAATTTTGGTGCAGGTTTCATTTCCAAGTAACTATAAGCCCTATGTTGACCAAACTTGCATGGATGATACATCTAAGGATGCATACTACCGGGCTTGCTTCGGATGCTGAATCTGACCTACATTTTCCAGTTGAGTAAACAGGTTAAAGTTTTTGGTGCAGGTTTCATTTCCATGTAATTATAAGCCCTATGTTGACCAAACTTGCATGGATGATACATCTAAGGATGCATACTACCGGGCTTGCTTCGGATGCTGACTGACCTACATTTTCCAGTTGAGTAAACAGGTTAAAGTTTTTGGTGCAGGTTTCATTTCCAAGTAACTATAAGCCCTATGTTGACCAAACTTGCATGGATGATACATCTAAGGATGCATACTACCGGGCTTGCTTCGGATGCTGAATCTGACCTACATTTCCCAGTTGAGCGAACAGGTTAATGTTGTTGGTGCAGGTTTCATTTGCAAGTAACTTTAAGCCCTATGTTGACCAAACTTGCATGGATGATACATCTAAGGATGCACACTACCAGGCTTGCTTCGGATGCTGAATCTGACCTACATTTGCCGGTTGAGTGATTAGTTAAAAGTTTTTGGTGCAGGTTTCATTTCCAAGGAACTATGAGTTCTTTAATGACCAATCTTGCATAGATGATACATCTAAGGATGCATACTTCCAGGCTTGCTTCGGATGCTGAATTGACCTACTTTTTGAGGATGAGTGAAAATGTTAGTTTTGATGCATGTTTCATTTCCAATAAACTATGAGCCCTATAATGAGCAAACGTGCATGGATGATACATCTAAGGATGCACACTAATGGACTTGCTTCGGATGCTGAATTGGACATACATTTTTCAGATAATAGACAAGGTAAAAGTTATGGTTGCAGGTCTATTACCAAAAACTATAAGGCTTATATAACATTGTATAAACCAAACTTGCACAAATGCTGCATCAAGAGATGAAAACTCTCAAATTTGCTTCAGATGCTGGATTTTCATTACATTTTCATGAAGAAGAAGTAGTTTAAATTTTTTATGTAGGTCTATTTCAAAGTATCGGATCAAAATTGCTTTTAAAAATATTTTCATTTTTGGAATGTATACTTTTTGTTGGTTAATTGTGTGACTTTGCCTTACTTAAAGACAACATTCGTTGAGGTGAGCTCTGTAATCTCTGATTACCTATGTTTCTCCTTCTGTCTGATCCTTCACTTGGAATGTCCTTTATACTTGCGCGTGTACATGGTGAGAAAATTGATGTTCTTGCAAACGGCAGCCCTAACAAAACACCATGTATCTGAGAATGGTCTATCTTTAGTCTCGTAAAAGACATTTTTTGTGTGTGATTTTTCCCTGCATCTGTCTGTCTGTCCGTCTGTCAAACCTTAAGTTTCTAGAACTGTAAGAGGTATTGATTTGTTATTTTGCACATGTATAATTTGGACTATGACTTTGTATTTTTACCATAATTACCGACCTAGCTATACTTGACTTTTGACTTAATTTTAAAAAGAATTGGTTGTGCCGATAAACAACTTCCTTTTGACATTTAAGATGTAAGAGTATGCTATTTAGCATGTGCACTGTTTGTCATAAAACATTTTGAAAAAGGCAAACATTACAGTCCACTTGACCTTTACATTTGACATACTTTGCCAAAATGTACTGCAGAAGGCAAAATTCAACTAATGTCATTTGAATTTAGAGAGACCGTGATTTGATAATTAGCATTATTTTTATACACATTTCTGAGCTTGTAATAATGTATCTTGATATTGTATGAAATACAGTAACTACAAAAAACTAAAAATTGAGTACTTTGAAAAAAGATCAAAATCGCTATTCCATTGTCGTAATTTCACGGTACCATATAGATAAGAATATGCATAATAAGGGAATCAGATGTTCCCCGTGTAGATATAAAATTCCTCATAAAGATGTTTTCTGTACATTAAACGGAGTGAAAATCTTTATTCCTTTGTACTTCTAGGTTGATATCTTTTTGCATGCATTAGAACTGAGAACAGAAAACAATGATTTGGAAATGTGGTTTGAACGCTTGACATTCCTGAATGCCATCATCGACCCTTGGTTGTACATAGTCCTGAGAAAAGAATCCATCAGAAGAATTATCCTTCTCTACCGAGCACTACGCAATCCAGTATCTCCAGAGGAAGAATGCTTGCTTGAACGATAAAATGACTTTGACCTAGTTTGATTGGTTTACAAGAGAGTAAAGATTAAAAGGTTATAATTTGACAGAATTTTTTTTACTGTTTGATCATATTTTGATAGATTTTTAAAGTAAATGCAAATGTGACAAAAATTCATTAGTTTGTAGTGAAACATGAAATTAAATTTAATGTACATGTACAAGATATAGGTTTTTTTAATATATATTTTGTTAATTATGTACATAATGCATATATAATACCGCATGAGTTCATCTCACATCGATAACTTAACTTATTTATGGCGTGCGTGTAGACAGTGTATTACACGTTCTAAACTTGTAGCTACACGTCGGATTTGACGTCATGATATCAAAGAACACAAAAATTGATGACGTCACCCGTACAAGTTGGTCGCAAAACATGTAACTAAAACTCTATATTGTTATACATTATTCTTGGAGTTTCTTCTTCACTTTTTGTTAATATTTTAGTGATGCGTAAAAAAGAGACTTAGTAAAAAAATTGACTGGAATGTGTTATGTATCTTTGTAAGGGTTTGAATCTAAGTTTAGAATCGCAGAGTAATTCAAATCACATTTGATTGTGTTGGAATATTTAAAAGTACAAAATCTGACAATAGACTTTTAGAAGGACTTTTTTCTTATTGTTAAATCTTAAATCATTGTACATAACACAAAAAATCCAGCTCAAAAATGATCTCTTCCACATATAAGAATTTGAGTTCATGCAGCTGTTTTCGTCTCCATATGAGTGAAAAATTCTCGAGTGGGACGTTAAACAATATACAATCAATCAATCGTTTCTTAAAATTATAAGGAATACCTGAAAAAAATTGAAGGAGGTTAATTTGTTTCTGTAAAATGTATTTTGGTGATTTATGGAATTTCTATCATGGAATTATAAGATATTTACCGTACAGAAAATCCTATAAATCTTTCTAGCCAGATTTTTTTCTTTTCGTGTGCTGTAAAATAAAATAACTAATATGTATGGAATATCCAAACAAAAATTTACTATAGTGTTAACTATAGTTTAACTATCGTTTGCTTTAGTTAATCGTTTGCTTTAGTAAATCCTTTGATTTGATATGAAACTCTAGTACTTTTTTGAAGATTTAGAACCTTAATATTTCTTGAACTTTGTGCCAATGTTGTAATTCTTTTCAAATATGTAAATAAAGTCGATCAGAAAATTAATTTATAAAAACTTGAAATATCCATATGAAATTCATAATACAAATTTAAATTCTTTTTTTTACTGTAGTTAACTATAGTTAACTCTAGTAAATTATAGTTAACTAATAAAACTGTTTTGTTTGATTATAGGGGATAAAAATTAAAAGCATTTTAGAACATTTATGACATGTTTTATCTTAGAAAAATAAGTAGTTTAGGAACTCAGACATTTTATTAAAGAATTGCTATTAAAAATAATAGCTAGTAGACCAGCACTTATAGAGAGGTAATGTTAATTCAGCTCCCGTTTACTTTAATTTGTTTCATTATAAATGTCAAGTATCCTCGAGGAACCTATTTCGGTGGTATTAGCAAACTACGCGATAAAATAATCTTGACGGGAAAGATTAAAATAAAACAAATGTAACTAACTTTCGAAGGACTCTTTATTTAATCAAATTATTTCCATATTAGTTAATAAAAAACTCTATAATTTGTTTTTCTTGCGATTTCTTTTTTCCTTGTTGTTTACGTAAGCAGAACTGTTGAGGTACCTAAATCGGTGGTATGGTACTTCTCAAAAGTTTTCACCCTAATAACACGAACCACGGGCATAAATTTATGAACAACGAATATTAAATCGTATACATGAACAAAGGGATAAATTACAATTTTATAAAAGTGTTATTTATCATTGTGACAGGGACATAAATAAATTCATCACCACATCTTATAACTTTCGTTGTGCAGCAAAACTGCAAGTGGATCCAGTGGTTACAATTTTCAAAGTTACACTGAGCCCACTTCACAAAAACAACTTATTCATTTATTTTTTATTCATTTTTTGTATTTATTTATTTTACCAACATGAAACTATATAAACTTTTAATAGCTTTCTTTTGATTTCTGAACTAATTTCTATGTATTTGTTTAGTAACAATTTACCAACAAGATTTATAAAAATAAACCCCTGGTATCAAAAACATATAACAGACACTAACTTTTGGACATCCTCTGTATTTCTATTTAATTATGCTAGCCACATGACAGTCACGTGACTTGAAAGCGCAGACGGTAAGCTGCGTCTACAGTATGTATTTCGATTAATTATTTCTTTTAAATCTATATTTAGAAGTCAATTACATTTAGATATTTTTAGCATTAATAAAATATGGTATTTTTTGTTGATATGACAATATCGGCCATTTACTTACACTTTTCTCTGGCATTTCGGGGTTTTTTTTCACAGAGTCGTAAGCTTCCGTGTTTACAAACACTACGCAAAAATCAATGACGTCAGATCTCGCACGGTAAGAAAACGCGCGTGCCCAATGGGAAATACCACCGATTTAGGAACCCCACCGTTTTAGGACCTTTGACGATACCATGTCCTTGTGTATATTTGGTTACAAAGTATTATAATACACACTGTTTTCATTGGTTGTAAAATACTTCCCTTTGAATGATATCGTTGCATTCAATATTTACTTTAGTTTAAAAGGTAAATAAACTATGGTGTATAATTTGTTTTATTACATATGTTTTTACAGCGAGATACCCCCAGTATCCACGACAGGATCCAAAAGCTCGTTATGACTGTTTCTTATTTAGAAAAAAGTCGCCCGCGTGGTGCAGTGGTTAGAGCGTCTGCTGTAGAGTCGAGAAGTAAGGAGTTGATCCTAAGTGCCGACTATAGAACAAAATTTGCAGCTCTCCACTGGCAAGTATTGGCGTTTCCATGTGAGTGAAAAATTCTCGAGAGGGACGTTTGACAATATACAGTGTACAATCAATCAATCATAAATTATTAAGAAAAAAATCATATGCAGCCTTAACTCATAATGATAACATAATGGTTATATTTGCTTTCATCTTAAACAGATATCTAAAAATACAAATTGTTTAGTATTATTTCATTTACACTGCTTATCGAAAGCATTAACAAGTGGCATTTATACATATTTTTTTTAAATAAATTTGTATTCGAAAATAAAATTCTACATAGTAACACCCCCTCCCCCTTCCCAAGAGAAAAATCATATTTGTGTCCAGTATATAAATTTCTTAGTATAAAATTTAAAAATGTTGTTGATTACAATGACCTTCATTTTAAAGAATAATGGGGATGAAATACTTCAGGGGGTTTTCCGATGTCATCTTAAATTAGTTCCTGCTGTCAATATAGTTTCAAATTATGCACCAAATCAATACATGTAAACCATGTACGGTACCCCATTTCAATGTATGAATATGTAATACATCAGAATAGATATTAGAATGTTAAAATCAAAGGCCTGATGGGCCGTTAAACATTTGAGGACATAATGAAATTGGTACCAAGAAGGGAATTCCAGTCAAAGACATATTGCTGTTAAGCACTCGTATGTGATTTCAATAAAAAACTACATTAATTCTCTGTATCCTAAAGAAATTAAACATAAAAAAACTTATTTTTCATATTTGCATATTTTAATGATGTTACAAATAAAACAATCGACAAAAAGTAAACTTTATAACCATAAAAAAAAAAGATTTTAAGTTACACTGATCAATTTCCATTAATTTCACAAATCTCAGAGGACTTTCATAACAAGCATTTGATGTATTTGTGAAACACAGATGCCCCAGTAAGACAGATTTTGGCGAATGTTGAAGTTTCTCAAATACAAGTCAAACTCCAAGGTCAAAATTATTGTATCCAAAGGAAGTTCTTGTCACCAGGAATACACAGGCGGCGTGACGGATGACAATATGTGATGGCGGACAAAACATGACTAACACCTGTGAAAAATGAGAGCTCTAGTACTAAGTGTTCAAAAGTTATGGGCAAGTTTTTTTAAATAGGTCAAAAGGCAAAATATATTATACCTATTAAGTCTTGTCACTGTAATGAATATACTTGTGAAGTATGAAAGTGCTAGAATCAACTATTAAAAAGTCATGGTCAATCGTATAGTTTGGAAATTTTTTTGTTAAAGTAGGTCAATTAATCTCCAATGCAAGGTCAATGGGTATTGTTATTATGTGTATATATACATGTATAGTGTACCGGTAATTATGGTGTTATTATGGTAATCAAAGAAAGGTCTTGTCAAAAGGAATACACCTGAAAATATGAAATTCATTGTCCCTCCCACTCACAAGTATTAATGACAGACAGTCGGACTAGGCAAAAACTATGTACCCCTGATTCTTAGATTACGGGGGAATAAAACATCATAGAGACATGATTTCAAAATTTGTTCGGATTAAAAATACCCTTTTTAAAGAAATATATTGAAAAATGCCAAGTGATTTGGCATCTATGGTAAAAGAGCGTCTGTTTCATTTATATTTACAGACTTTCTAGATCCCCTACAGCGATGGAAAATCTCAGCTATTTTGCTTAGTGATTCCTTTCTTAAGACAATATACATCCAGGGATCAATGATAGCATTACACACGGCCAATCGCAGAAGCAATAGTTCTGTGTTATCGTTCTTTTGGTTTCTGATGTTGACAGCATGCAAGAAAATGTCCACCTGAAGCAAAATTCAAAATCAAATCGAATCAATTTTTAAAATGCCGAGATTTTTTTTAATGTGATTACTCCAAACGATTCTATATAAAAATAGATTTTACGTACCACAAGAGGGGTCCAGAGGATGACAAACAACACGGTAACGGATGTTATAAAAATCATTGCATGAAAATCATAGAATCCGGAAACTTCATTGGCATCCATAAGTTTTCCTCTTTGTTCTGGGTCTGTACAAATCCGACACAGTGTTACGGCGTTAATCACAATGGTTACAATAATTATAACGAAAGCAATTATGGAATAAAGGTAGCTCATGACATGGTTTCCTGTAGTATCGCGTACAAAATCAAAATAACACCAAGAACCCGGATAATATATGTTACTTTCCCCAACTCCAATTAAATGTAAGTACGAAATCAGACTAGCAATGATCCATATTCCGAAGAGTATATATGTATAATTCTTGCTTGTGAAGATAACTGAATTTCGCAAATGCATGAAACGGTCAACAGACATGGCACAGATAATTAAAGCTGCAGACATATGAGCGTCGACAAAAACGAAGGAAGTGAATTGACAAAGTGGCTTCGGGTAGCACCACGTGAAATCTGAAGTATACCTTATCATCGCAAATGGGTAAACCAGTATTATTCCAAGAAAATCCGTGATTACTAGCCCAGTAAGAAGTTTAAAAAAAGAAAACCATCGATGATAATGGCGGTTGGTCCAGAGGAGAAGTAAAGCGATGACATTACCAGTGATTCCGAAGAAAAATTCCAATGCTGCAGGCTCCCACAGCGCCCAGGTATTATTTCTATTACAAAAAGGGTAGTCATGTTTTGTATCAGACTGCCCCATGATGTTGTAGGTAGTGTTCTATTTACTTAATGCGTATTTGATGCTTTATATATATAATCATACTAAAGATAACAGCGATCTGATTTTAGATAACCATTATATAATCTTCTTAATCTACTTCTTCGGTTCATCATAAGAGACCCTTGAGAAGAAAATACATATTCACTTATGATTAGTTAACGCTCATATCATAAAGATTTATCTACACATGATCTTAAGTGAAAAAAGAAAACAATAATAACTTTCAATAAAACACAAATTGGTATAATTTTTAACAAGCCCAGATGTTATTATTGATGAAATATATAGAGATAACGAATAGTATTCAAGGTCAAAAGTCCATAAAACAATACAAAATAGGAGCAGAGCAAACACAGACCTTCAAAACATCAGAGATTAGATCAGGTGCCATGCAGGAGTGAGCATCCCCTGAGGAATGGTCACACCTGCCGTGTGCTCCTTGTCATGATCGGGTAATAACGGGAAAATCCATCGTCAATTCAATGTGTAAATAATGAACTAACAATTAGTATGAAAAACGTCAGTCAGCATTTGACCCAATGATAAATTGTGTTTGCTTACAGGGTCATTGTATTGAACGTAGAACTTACAAAATGATTACTTTAAACGAGACTGCTGATATTTTTGTTTCATCAATATGTTTGTCAATAATTTACCTCGTTTTAGAAATTGTTCATACGTAGAGCATGCTCTTGCGTATCGAATCAACTGAGATATATATACTCCGTATGCAGGTGATGAAGGTATATTGCTGCATCAGTAAGGGAAGTTTGACAAAGATACACACGAAAAGGAAATTAAAGTCATCACGTTTATCATATAGCTTGGAGTTGTTAGACTTACCATCAACGTCTTTTTCAGCAAAATCTTTGGCTGTCAAAAAATTGGCGAACACATTGCGAATGTGTTAAATTCGTGTGTGTATCTTTTATCTCAAGCTCATTAAGATATGTCGTATCGACGTAGGAATGGAAATTATTGTTGTTAATTGACAATACGTCGTTGATCTATCTAAAAGTCGAGTTAAGATAATGGTTTATTTCAATGATTAGACAATGTAGCGAATGGAAAAAATATTTTTTTTATTCTTTGAGTTCTTAGAAATTTATAGAAAAACTCATAGATGAATAAACACAGTTGTGCATTTTTTTTTTCTAATAGGTGAAAAATATATTGTATTCATTACAAATTTATAAGGTAAATACGTCTAATATATGCAATTATTCCTCTTACAGGTATAAATTATCTCCTTTCAACTGATAAAAGTGTTTGTAGCATTTGAAGTGTCAAATTTGTTTTTTTTTCCAGAACACTTCTAATTCTGTGTGGGTCAGTAAATGGCTGTATATAAAGCGTAGAAAATGCGCTCACTTCCTTTGTTGCTGGAATTAGCCTTTGTTGCCAGCCTTGTGGATGCTGCAACTGAATATCTTCATATTGCGGACTTTGAGAGTACACGTTTCAGCGGGAACTGGGTTTGCGCGGATTGTACTATGACGTCCTACACAGCAGACGTATATCACGGAAGTAGATCAATCAAGGTCACAAACAGGTAGGACAAGTTGAAATAAAGAGTAAGTGTTATACTGACAATATGCATAATGAAATATCTTTGCATTTCTAACTTTTCATACAGAACGTGTCTTAAATTAAGGGAATTTTAGCATCCATCAAAAGAAATTGTTTTCTTCTTTGGTGTTTTATGGCAAGACTCGCAAAGGCATACATTAAAAAAGTGAGAGAGGCTTAAGTTTTGAACAATTTTGACTAAAGGTCCAAGATTCTGTGGTCGATAAAATGACTTAGTTTGCAAATACAAACCAACATTAAGCTGATTTAAACTAACGTTTCCTAATATTTGTTTTGCCATTGATTTAGCATCTGAGTTGACTATGAAAATCATTTTGTGTGATCCTTCACAATCTCATTCAATATAATTGGATCATATATAATATATATATGATATATATATAATAATTAGCAATCATCAACATACAAATTGCTGACTTTTAACAAGACTGTTTAAAGCCTTATGTCATGAACTTATCAAAATAACAGAGAGACTGCCTTGTTATAAAACAAATATTTTCACTATTTTTTTGCATTGTAACTACATACATGTGTATGAAGTAATAAATTTGTGCCTAAACATGTGTTTTTAAGTACTTTTTCATTAATTGAATAGCCACATATATGTTTAAAAATCCCAAGTTTCCTAAATGTAAAGTCATATTAAATTAACTTTTACTTTTCTGAAACATGAAAATTTAAAACCGTTCCACCTCAATTTGCTGCTTTATATACTTAAGGTAAAATCTTAGTGTAGCACATATATATAAAATTTTAATAATGACAAAGGAAAATTTGGGATTTTAAATGCAAGTTTTTATTAAAACTTTTATGACTTAACATTGCTCGAAAAAGATAGGAGAGAAAATTATGTATATAAATCCCTAATTGCAAATTGAGATATTGGACAAAACATTTAACTAAACTTTAAAAATAAAGTAAGGATAAAGAGCAAAATAAGAACAACGTCTGAAAATATCAATGACAATTTTAATTATTCATTTTTACAGATTTTAAAGATTAACATTTACTTGTTCATATAATATCCAAGCTGTTGTTGACAATGATAAACAGCTAAAAAGATAAATATCATTGTTGATATTCACACTGTCGTCTGCGTTTAGATATTGGCTGAGACTATCTTGTGTCACACTGTGCTGGGACTGCTGAGCTGAAAGCTGGGCGGAAGAGGACGTTGAGTTGTCTGCTGGGGTGTTAGTTGGCTAGGACCTCTGGGTTGCTGCTGAGGAGGCTGAGAATGAAGTTCCAGCAGACTAGAATGGTTTTTGAATATAAGCATGCCGGACCTAGTATCTGCTCTGCCCCCGATTTTTATTGTTAAAATAGACTTTGAATTTAAATATTGTTCTTTATCTCCATGTCTCACACTCCTGTGATCTACACACTGATGCCGGAGGTGGGTTCCTATGAGCAATTGAAATTTCTTTCCAACAGTCGGCCGAAGGTTTTATACCCATTGAAAGGTCACGTGACACCTTTATTTGAAAGTTCGAAAGCAGGGCAAACATGTCTTGTTGCCATCATATTGCCTTCGTGTGTCCTTCGGGTAAACATCTGAATAAAAAATAACATTTATATATAGTGTGTGCTTCGGGTGCCATCGTGTGACCATCTGTAGGTATCAAACTTGCTTCCTGGTGATTAGCTAGTGACCAATTTTCGGGGCCAAATGGGTTGAAATTCAAAATTTCAATTTCGTATCGCCATCTGGTGTCAATCCTGATGTGACGCCTGTATTGTTCATTAGAAAGTTAAAGTCATCACGTTTATCATATAGTTGGTTGTTAGAACATCAACGTCTTTTTCATGCAAAATACAAATAGGAAATAAATTATGATTTTTACTTTTATCTCAAGCTCATAGATATTCCGTTGGAAATTATTGTTGTTAATTGACATTTTTGAGAAAAAAAATGTGTTTAGAATCAAGTTCATTTTGCTTCTTTTGGTATTTTCTGCACGATGCAATACTTTACAATAAAATGCCCATGAATAAACACAGTTGTGCATTTTTTTTTTTTAAAAAATATATTGTATTTATTACAAATTTATAAGAGTAGATACGTCCATATATGCAATTATTGAAAAACATAACGATAAAAGGATCTAAGTGTCAAAAACCTACGAGTACTATATTAGAATTATGTGAACAGGAATTAAACTTTGTTGCCAGCAATGTGGATGCTGCAAATTCCAGAATGACTTTGAGAGTAAAGTTTTAAAACTGGGTTTGCGCGGATGATTTTTGAAGATATCACGAACATATAACTTGACAAGTTGAAATAAAGAGTAAGTGTTATACTAAAAAATCCATAAGTAATACAATTAATTGAACATGAAATTAAAACGGAGGGCCGTGAATTGCAGAGGTGGGATCAGGTGCCAAGGAGGCACAAGTAATCCCTGTTGATCTGTCACATCCACCGTAATCATGAGTTCTAGACATTGGTATGACAGACAGAAAATTCTGTAGTCATTTTAAGCATAAAAAAATGTTTTAAATTTGTGAACCAAAAACGACTCAGTGATAGATTATTTGGCTGGCAAAGTCATTTCAACAACCACTTTAGTTAGCTTTTGTACCGGTACTTCCAATTTTGTTGAGTATGGTTTATTCAAGCAGATAAATATAGTTTGATCATTGTTATATTTTCATTTAAAGGCAGACTTCACAGAATAAAGACTGCTGTGCTTCCCCATCAAGTAAAACTTTTATGTTCGGATGGAGAGAAAATTAGCATGTATGCAATTTCTTTAGTACCTAGAAGGTAAAAATTAATTATGAAATCAATACAAAATTGATTAAATGGGACTTGTTGCAAGAGACGGTGGTTATCTAAATATTATTTGCAATTGCATTGCCGACTACACATAGAACCGACTTTTGCTTTATATCAAGTAATTTTTATATAAAATAAATAAATGAAAAAACATGAATATGTTAACTTATATTCAGCGTTAAAGAAATATTAAAATAGGTCGGTATTAAAACAAACAAAAATTATATTTCATAAATTTAATATAATTTTTGGCCCTTTCAATAGGTACAACCAGTGTGAAGTTATTCCTACAAGTAACCGAGCCTTCTGGGTTGAGATGTTTATGTTTGTGGATTTGTATTGTTCATTAGATTTACAACAGCTTCCTCATAATCAACAAATAGGAAATAAATTATGATTTTTACACTCGTCTTAGACATTCCGTTTTACATTGACATTTTTGAGAAAAAAAATGTGTTTAGAATCAAGTTCATTTTGCTTCTTTTGGTATTTTCTGCAACAATACTTTAATAAAATGTTTAATAATTGCAATTTTTCATTTTAAAAAGTAATGTCACAGAGTTTAAGAGATTTTTAAACCAGATTAACCTCATAATCTATTTATAGGAAAGGCACACGGAACACACACTGAACAGGTATATTAATACAGGAGCAATTTAAATTCCAGAGATGGGATAAAGTTTTAAAAGGTGCAATGATTTTTTGAAGATTACGAACATATAACTTGACGATTACGAGATTATACTAAAAAATCCATAAGTAATACAATTAATTGAACATGAAATTAAAACACTGACTGTCTAAAGGCAAGAGACCCTGTTGATCTGTCACATCCAAATCATGAAGCATTGGTATGACAGACAAAAATTCTGAACTTTTAAGAAAAAAAATGTTTTAATTTTGTTAACAAAAAACGACTCAGTGATAGATTATTTGGCTGGCAAGGTCATTTCAACAACCACTTTAGTTAGCTTTTGTACCGGTACTTCCAATTTTGTTGAGTATGGTTTATTCAAGCAGATAAATATAGTTTGATCATTGTTATATTTTCATTTAAAGGCAGCCCATTTCTTCCCCATCAAGAAACGAGAAAGAAATTAGCGGCGATTTCTTTGTACCAGCAGGTAAAAATTAATTATGAAATCAATACAAAATTGATTAAATGGGACTTGTTGCAAGAGACGGTGGTTATCTAAATATTATTTGCATTGCCGACTACACATAGAACCGACTTTTGCTTTATATCAAGTAATTTTTATATAAAATAAATAAATGAAAAAACATGAATATGTTAACTTATATTCAGCGTTAAAGAAATATTAAAATAGGTCGGTATTAAAACAAACAAAAATTATATTTCATAAATTTATATAATTTTTGATTTTATCATGTGTGAAGTTATTCCTACAAGTAACACCTTCTGTGGACTACTTACTGGATGACTGCAGTTTACAACAGCTTCCTCATAATCAACACTGGCATACTGATGCTGTCAGTAGAATAAGTAACATCAGGAAGTCGTCCGTGTCGCTCAGGTATCAACATCAATAAAATGTTTAATAATTGCAATTGATTATAAATTAAGAACACAGTCTTAAAATTTTTAAACGATTAACCTCAAATCTATTTATAGGATGGCACACGGAACACACACTGATGGTATATCAATACAGGTAGTAATATTGTCTTGGAGAAAGATGATCTTTTTATTTTATTTCTTTTAAATTCTAATTCCTTAAAATGCCTGTCACTGACTGTCTAAAAAGAGACCCCAAAAAAAAGCTGAGAATACAATGAACTTGAAGAACATTGTAACAGGTCCTGTGTAAGTTCATATCAACAGGCCAAACTTAAAGGAGTTAAAGCTACCACGTCGATTTTTTTAAAACGCTTTTCTCCTCTATGTATATCTCTCTCACTTGACATCTTGTTGTTAACTAAGTACGACACATGTTGCTCTAAATTTGATAAAAGCAGTGCTAAATCGGTTTTGGCGCTTTTTTCCATCAAAATGGATGAACTAGAGTCAGATCGTCAAAAATCTTTCTGTCAAACTTCTGCTTTTTTACGTTCAACGAAATACTGAAAGACATGCACGACGTCCATTGACGGATGAGAGATCTCCATTCTGTCTAATACCCCATTCATAAGATGAAAATTTGCTTATGTGTGCAAATTTACATATAAGTAAATCTACACACGTTAGTAAAAGTTAATTTGCTATGCGTTCAGGCGAGATTTATGTACTGCTAGTAAATTGTCATATTTTCATATAAAATAAGGAGATGGGCAGATTGTGATTTTTTATTTAAAAAAGTGTATTTGGTAAAAACCTAACTTTTGAATGTTCCTAAAAGACTAGGTTGGAAATCCGATCCACTAAATTATATAATTTTATTGGTACGAAAGAATAGGAAGTTAATGTTTTAAGGACACAGAATGGTATAAGAATTTACACACAAAGAAGAAAAAACTATTAAAAATATTTTTTACTGTAAGAGCCGTAGAATGTAAAGAAAAAAGATGACTGTTGCCATCTACTGATTGACTTATTCAGCAGAAATAGGACGATTGGAATCTTTTTGTTTTTTGGAAATCTACAGTACATCAAGTGTGTGAGGTCATTATAAAATATCCTCTTGAAAATGATACAGGAAGGATATAGAGATAACGAATAGTATTCAATATCAAAGTCCATAAAACAATACGAAATAGTAGCAGAGTAAACACAGACCTCCAAAACATCAGAGATGGGATCAGGTGCCATGGAGGAGTGAGCATCCTCTGCCGATCAGTCACACCCACCGTGTGCTCCTTGTCATGATTGGGAAATAACGAAAAAATCCATCATCAATTCAGTGAACATGTATACACAATTGACTAACAATCAGTGTGAAAAACATCAGTCATGTAATTATGTATTTTCAAGGAGAATGAAAAGGATGAAGAAAACTAAAAGTGACCGATCTCATAAAATCTTAGCTGCAGATCTGTAGCTCTCCGAAAAAAAAATATTGATAGACCGGAGAGCTACAGAGCCACCCATTGAAAAAACTGTATATTTATTGCGCACAAAAAAATGCGCTCGGTTCTCGATTCTCCGGTTTATCAATATTTTTTTCGTAGAGCTACAGATCTGCAGCTAAAAAAATTTTGAACAATACAAATATGTGAAAAGGAAATTAACATGAACCCCTGGACATTATGGGGTTATGTGCCAAAGAGGATACTTAAAAATGCTTACTTTCAACGAGTTTATTGAAATTCCTGTAACATTAACTTATATATGAGTAGCTTGTCTCGATTAAAAACAAAGGGTAGAAGAAAGTCATCAAGAGCTAAATGGTAATTGGGTCCGAGGAATGGATGGAATGCATGTTCCTATCATAGCTTCGGAGCATTCCAAAGGAGACAACTTGTATAGTAAGGGCAGTACTTATTGCCCGGATCCTACAGGGCACTTGTTAGCGACCACAACTAGTATATTATTATCTTTAAAGATATAAACAAAAGTTTGCCAGAAAGGGTGCAAGATGCCCTCGTTTTTTGCAAATTCGAAAATTTATCTTGGAGGAGATAATGACTCGTTGTTTGAGTTTTACCTTTTAGCCACCATGTTTACTAACTTATATTTTACGTACCAATGCATACATAACAACCGAAACAACACTCAAAATGGAGATTTATGCAATAAAGAAAACAAAATACATACATAAGTAAATTTACTGCGTGTTCATACAACAAAATTTACACACATGAACTAATAATTTGCTACAAAAGGTATGCAAAAGTTAATTTGCACCTAGTCCTAACCAGGTGTAAATTTACTCAACTGTGCAGAATTTGCATATGAGTAAATCCGTTCATATGACAAAAATTGCACATATGAGTAAATTTACTTATGTGTAAAATATACTGAGGTGTGTAAATCATGTCGTATGAATGGGGTATAAGGCGATAAATTTGTCTTTACGATTGTCTAATGATAAATATTTTCATGCTGAGGATATGATTTACAGCTTGTTCAAAAGAGACACGCCTTTCCGTTTGGTACAGCAGTAAAAGCATCTTTACTTGTTGATGACGCCCACCATGCCTATCAGGACTTTATATATAATAACTTTAACTGGGCTGTCTTGGAAAACGCTCTGAAGTGGAGACTCCTTGAATGGACAGAGGTTAGATTTATATGGACAAAAAATCAAAAAGAATTTATATCACAAAAATAGAAAACATTATTTATTTATAGGGACACCCAAAATTTGATACAGCAGTGAGAGCGATAGCGACACTACGATCACATGGGTAAACGGTTTCTTCTTTTTTTTGAAATTCTTTTTCTCAGATTTTGAAAGGAAACTGTCATAATTTTTTTTTAAATAATACTCACATTGTAGAAGTACATGGCAGGTGTTACCGGTCACCAGGGGATGCTCACTCTTCCATGGGATTTTATCCCATGTTTCCTAGATCCTTGTTTGTCTTGCTCGTAATTTGCGTCGTTTGAATGGAATTTTAGGCTTGAATACTGTTTATAATCTCCATATATTTCATGTAAATGTTTCTAGATTGCATGTCAGGGGACTTAACTTATTTTGGGCGGTAGATGGACATTCACCAAAGTGGTTAGCAGGAAAGTCCCACTCAGAATTTATCAATGAAATGAAAAGGCACATCAATGACGTTGTGTCGCACACGAATGGGACGTAAGTTTGGACTTTTGGTCACAACTAGAAGCAGAAAACCATCATATAGCTCGTTAACACTCTGATTCATTTTTAGTGCAAAAAAATACAAAGGTTAGCTAAAATCTCAAATGTCATACGAAACTTTTTATCCAAAAACATGGAAATATTTACTATTTACTTAGGTATAATTATACAAAAGAATCAGAGAAAGCTAAATACACGGTTTGAAATTTTCAAATGATGTAGGCTCCTTTTTAAATGTGCTTTTATTTTCTCAGAAAGAGGAGGTTATATTGTTTTGATTCCATTTTGCATTCAGATTAATACAATTTTATCGATGATTTTTCTAAAACATAGTTAAGATCACTGGGATGTTTATAATGAAGCTTTACATGGACGCTACTTTGAGGAACACACTGGCGACCCAGATATCATCCAAAAAATGTTCAACTGGCTTCATGTCGCTCAGCCACAAACAAAGCTATTCCTGAATGACTACAACATTGTGAATTCAAATCTTTATACAACGGTTAGCGTAAATCGAACTCCATAGGCAGGATTCAGAAAAAGTAGTAAGCAACCGAGTTAAATCATGTTTGGTAAAGTATTTAATTATTCCAATTTCCTTTCGGACTTAAAGGAATACAACATTGATTAAACTGTGTTATTTGTTCCTTTAGGCTCTGAAAAACCAGGGACTACAGCTAATCAAAGACAGAGTTCCATTGCATGGGATTGGTATTCAGAGTCATATTAAGAACTCTCAGATAAATCTTGATGTACTTAAGGTAAATTAAATTCACAAAATGTTCAGTATTAATTAAATTGTTTCTTTACAAATGTCTAAGTACGTTGTCGTTTTTAGATATTGTATAAAGTCTTTTGAATCAGTTTCTTAGTATTTTGAAATCAAAAAGAGGATAACAAGAATTAAAAAAAACGTTACCTGCGATGACTATTAAATTACTGTACTCATAGTTGAAGCCAAGTCTATACTCTATAAAAACACCAGAAAACCATTAAGTTCCCATAGCTTATCCCTTCTTTTATTCATTACAAATTTACCAATGCCAGAGTATTAAACAGAAATTTTGTCTTTGTAGTGGATACAGGATGATAAGATGTGTCTTTGTTATTCGGAGAGGACAAAGAGTGTTTTTGTATGTATTGAATGCAGATCAGATTTAAGGAATATTTGGTCTTTGTAATACAGACTAGATAAGGTAGCAGAAGCTGGACTGAAGATCTGGATAACAGAACTAACGATTCTAGAATCCGACAGCACCAAAAAGGCAGCGGCTTTGGAGGACCTTCTAACTCTGTATTTTAGTCACCCTGCGGTTGAAGGCGTTCTGTTGTGGGGGTTCTGGGACGGTGCAATATATGACCCCAATGTGTCACTGTTTACAGGATCTTCTATAGCAGTGAGTATTTCAACATGAATCAACTGTGGATGGTAATCTGTGACTGAATATCGGTAAGCTATCAAGAAAATGTACAGCTGTTTACAGTATCCTCTATTTAATAAGCACAACAGTATATATATAGCATTTACAGTTATTGTTTTCAGGAACGTTCTTATCATTTTGGAAATTCATGTACGGCTGTATACATCTTTATGATCAGAATGCTACAAAACTAATGCTACAAAACTTCAAATTTTTAAAGTATAATCCTATCGTACCAGTTTGTCACGATTATTCGATTTCAAAAGTATGTAGTTATAGAGCTACAATTTTTGCCTACGTATATGTGTATTGTTCTTATAATACCTGTCTAACACGTACCGTCTAATCTTTTCAGTTTTTTTTTACAATAAGAATCAGAAAACTTTATTCACATTAGTTCTGTAGAGCGTTTGATCGA